GCCAGACCTGCTGAGCTTTTCCAGCAACTTTTGCTTTTGTTCCTATCTCTGGATTACTACCCAAGTCACAGACATACCAGTATAGGGTCAATAAAAACAGGGAATTGAATGCATTGCTCAAAGATGAGTGTGGATGGAATTGGTTCTTTTTGTGAAGCACTGGAATGTGTACTGGAGTAGAAGGGAGGTGTTCTGGTGGGATGGGCTTCGCTTTAACTGTGCTGCGACCAGTGTCCTAGCAAATTGAAAACCAGCACTGCACAGAGTGATTTCAACTAATTAGAGCGGGGTGAGAGTTTGGGAGAGGGGAAATGTAGGCTTACGAAGCAAAAGAATATAGCATTACATGGCAGCTCTCTGGATGATGATACCTGGAGTGGGACAGAAACAGACAGAGTTTACAAACATAGAAAAACAGCAATAAAGCAGGTCAAAAAGGGAAAGTAGTAGTAAAACGGCAAAACAACAGCCCCTTTACACAAACGTGTATGGTATTCACAACAAAATAAATGAATTAACAGTACAAATACTGGTTAACAGGTATAATCTTTTAGCCATCATGAAGACATGGTACAAGGAGATCAAAACTGGAAACAAAATATTCAGGGGTATGTGATTTTTCAAAAGGACAGGCAGGAAGAATAAGATGGTGGGGTAGCATTGCTAGTATGGGATGGAACAAATACAATAGTAAGGTATTATCTTGGATCATAAAATGTACTATCCACAATAGTGGAGATAAATAGAAAGAGGAAGATGATACCAGTAGTAGTAATCTATAGGCCTCCTAACAGCAGCTATACGGCAGGACAGGTAATAAATCAGAAGATGATGACAGTATGTAAAGAAGACAGGACATTAATCATGGGTGGCTTTAATCTTCATGTACATTAAGATAGTCAGAGGTTGGCAGAGGTAGTCATGAGGAAGAATTCATAAAGTGTATTTGGGACAGTTTCCTAGAACAACATGTTGTGGATCCAACTAGGGATCAGACTATTTTGGATCTAGTGATATGTAATGAGGAGGTTTGATAAATTATGTCAGAATAAAAGATCCCCTAGGAAACAGTTACCATAATATTATGGAACATAACATGTTCACTGATGACTGGACAATGTTCAATACCAGTTGTGACTCCTCTGATACGGAAGCAATCCATGTTCAAATGCAACAAGTTTTAAATAACATTCACGCCACACAAATGCCAGGCTATGACCATCTCCAATAAGAGACAGACAATCTAGCCACTGCTCTTTGACATTACAATCAATGAATCCACCATTATCAACATCACAGGGTTACCATTGACCAGAAACTCAGATGGACTCATCAAATGGACACATTGGCTACAAGAGCCAGTCAGAGGCTAAGAATACTGCAGTAAGTAACTCACCTCCTGACTCCCTAAAGCCTGTCCACCATCTATAAGGCACAAGTCAGGAGTGTGATGGAATATTCCCCACTTGCCTGGATGGGTGCAGCTCCAACAACACTCAAGAAGCTTGACACCATCCAGGACAAAGCAACCCACTTGATTGGCACCACATCCACTACCTCCACCATCAATGCTCATTATTAGAAGTGTGTACTATCTACAAGATGCACTGCAGAAATTCATCAAAAGATCCTTAGACAATGCCTTCCAAACCCACGACTACTTCCATCTAGAAAAGTAATGGGGAGCAGATACATGGGAATACCACCACCTGCAAGTTCCCCTGCAAGGCACTCACCATCCTGACTTGGAAATATATTGCCATTCCGTCACTGTTGCTGGGTCAAAATCCTGGAATTCCCTTCCTCAAGGCATTGTGGGTCTACCTACAGCACGTGGATGGTAGCTGTTCAAGAAGACAGCTCACTACCACCTTCTCAAGGGCAATTAGGGACAGGCAATAAATGCTGTCTAGCCAGCAATACCCATGTCCCACAAGGGAATTAAAAAGTTAGTATTTAATTTGAGTGGGAGGAACTGCTGTCATAAACAACTGCGAATAGCTTAAAGAAGGGCAATTACAAAGGAATGAGGCAGAGCTGGCAGGACTGTGCTGGGAAAGGTGTTTAACTGCAAAGACAGTTGAGGAACAATGACAGGTGTTTAAGAAAATAGCTCATGACCGACAGCAAAAGTATATTCCAGTGAGGAAGGAGAATTCTCATAAGGGGATAAACTAATTATGGTTAACCAGGAAAGTTAAGTACAGCATCAAATTGAAAGAAAAACAACATATAATGTGGCAGAAATCAGTGTTAAGACAGGGGATTGGGAAAGTTTTAAAAACCAATGAAAGATGACCAAAACAAAGGAAGAAAATAAACTTGGAGGGTAAACTTACAAGTAATATCAAGATGAACAGCAAGAGATTGTTTAAATATATAGGAGGAAGTGAGAACCCAAAGTGAACATCAGACTCTTAAAAAGTAAGGCTGGAGATATAATAATGGGGAACCAGGAAATGGCAGAGGAATTGAATAAATACCTTGCATCAATCTTCACAGTACAAGACACTAATAACATTTTAAAATACTAAATTACTAAGGCACAAAAGGAGGAGAGGAAGTGAGTATAACAACTATCACCAGAGAAAAAATGCTGGGGAAAATAATAGGGATAAAAACTGATAAGTCTCCTAGACCTGATGGAATGCATCCTAGGATATTAGGGGAAGTAGCTACATGTATAGAGGATACAGTGCAGAATCTTCCAAGAACCTTTAGATTCTAGAAAAGTCCCAGAGGATTGGAAAATTGCCAGTGTAACACCTTTACTTACAAAGGGAAGGAGACAAAAAAACAGGTAACTATAGGCCAGTTAGCTTAACGTCTATTGCTAAGAAAATGTTAGAGTCAATTAGAAAGGATATGATAACAAAGAACTTATAAATGCATAATATGATGAAACAGAGTCAACGTGGCTTCATAAAGGAAGGAATACAGACAGGTTAAATAGGCGGGCATTCAAAAACTTGATAGCTAGAATATAATGTAGGAAAATGTGAGGTTATGTACTTTGCTAGGAAGAATAGAGAAGCTGAATATTATTTGAATGGGGAAAGTTGACAGAAAGCTACAGAGCAGAGGAATTTAGGAGTCCTTGTCCATGAATCACAAAAAACTACTATCCAAGTTCAGTGAATACTAGGGATGGCAACTGGAATGTTGGCCTTTATAGCAAAATGAATGAAGTAGAAAAATAGGGGGATTTTATTAAAACTATACAAGGCATAATCAGGTTACAACTGGAATAGTGAGGACAGTCTTAGGCCCCTTATCTGAGGAAAGATGCATGGGCATTGGAGTCTGTCCAGAGAAGTTTCAGTAGGCTGATCATGAGTATGGAAGGCTCTGTCTTATCAGGAGTTTGAGTAGGTTGGACATGTACACATTGACATTTAGAAGAATAAGGGGTTACCTTATAGAAACATACAGAGCCTCGGCGGCTTGACAGAGTAGATGTGGGGAAGCCCCCTGTGGGAGTCTAAGACCATGGGGCATAATCTCGGAATCAGGCATCCTACATTTAAGGCAGAGATGAGGGGGGATTTATTCTCTCAAGAGCTAGTGAATCTGTGGAACATTTCACCATATAGGGTTGTTGAGGTTGGATTGTTAAGTATATTCATGGTTGAGATAGATGGATTTTTAATCAGTAAGGGAATCAATGCTTATGGGGAAAAGGCAGGAAAATGGAGTTTAGGATTATCAGATCAGTCATGATCTCACTGAATGGAGCAGCAGATTCAATGGGCTGAATTACTACTTATGCTCCTTTGTCTTATGGACTTGAGGACACCGATACATTGTTGATGTATCTGATACTTGACCATGAGTTAAAAGAGTTCTACTTTACAACTGTACTGGTGCTTGCTGCTTTTGCGTGGGGCCGGAAGATGTACAAGAATTTCCAATAAAGACTCAATGTCGGGAAGAGGTTTTGTGCCAAGCTTTTCCGCTTCAATGGCATGAAGGGGAGAAGGGGTACAAGCAAATTTTCTGTTCTCTCCATCTGACCAAGGTTTCTCAGAGAAGGCTATAATGGATGAGGTCAATAAATGCTCCAATCACTGACTGGGGAGGTAAGATATCTTGGTCCTAAGACATTCATTACTAATGGTTTGCACACAGGTTAGGAAGCAGTCCACAATAACTGCTCAGCTCTGAAAGTTTGAAGCTGTCAAATGCTACTCAATGTGGATATTGATTTGATACTAATTTCTCATATAGCCATCTCAATACCATTCCTCTTCCCGGTTGATGAGCTGCTGTTTCACTGGAAGAGAACTAGCAGGCTACTGATCAAGAAGTGAAACAAGCTGTAGCTGTTCTTTGTGCAAGTACTTTCCTTTGCTGATATTCCCTTTTGCATTTACTATTTCTGAGGAGCTCATGCTGTTGAGAATTGGGGTTCCCTTCAAACCTGTGTTAACTCAACATTCTATTTTTGGCATTTCTCATCTAACTGGGTCACATTAGATAACTAGCCTTCTGAAAATGTAAACAAAATCTCTAAATGAAAACAGAGGACAGGAAGAGAAATCAATGCCAGAATGGGTGAACATTACATGCTAATATCCAGTACGTCACCTTTCAGAGTTTTCTTCAGATGGGAAAGAAGGCCACCAAGTCTCTGCAGGTCAAAGTAATCCACCTTCCCATTAAAAAAGAGCTGAGGGGGAACGTAAGCATCTGTAAGCAAAACAAAAAATAACTCAGTACACACCCAGGGGTTATCGCACGCCATTCTGCCCATGACTATGGGCAACAAATCAACAAAGCTTACAAGGGAGACTGTGCCAGTGTCACCAGCTTTTGATGCAGCAGCCTGCAATTGTCAGCCACGGCCCAAATATAAAGGAGCCAGGATTTACTGAGTTCAAGCATGGGGACATGTTATTTTTACTGGGTGCCTTGGGTTGCAGTGAACCACAGTAAGTTTTACAATCTAATTGCAGCCTTTCCAACAAGAGCCACACATCAGAGGCTGATGCCACAAGGAGGTCTCATAGCATAACACGTCTCTTTCTGTGGCAACATAGGAAAGGAACTTTTCATTGCAAAAGTAGGAAATAATTATGATTTCGAAGATGGTCTGTGACAAAATAATCATAAAAGGCTTCTTATGGATTTGGTGAGAGGCCATAAGCTATTAAAAATGTTTAGGCTATCCATGGTATGGAATCAACAGGCCAAATGATGTTTTGTTGCTGGTCTTATAATTCAAAACAGCAATTCACAGGATGCGTACCAACAGGAAGTTAAACTATTTTGAGTGGAGTTAAAGATCCATAAGCTACAAACCAGATTTTGACTATACTACACAGGCAGTTAAGCATCAGTCCATACCTTCACTGGGTATTGCTGATGGATTCCTCCGTCTGTACTCATCCCAGTAACTTCGCAAAGCAGCAATCAGTCGGTGCAGGAAGCAAACCATGTATTCAGGAGGGCAAAGGATTGCAGGATTCTGTGGAGATAAGTATCAATGCTTTGTCTGTTCACATAAAGAAGAATGTCAATGGGGGATACTCCTGGACCTCTGCAAATGTTATTGCATTTACCTAGTAAACAAAAACATTGTAATGCAGCTTCTTTCTTCATATCGATTTCTGCCATCATACCTTACAACAATGACTACACATTAAAAGTACTTGACTGGCTGTAAAGTATTTTTAGTCACTCGGAGTTTGTGGAACATGTTACATAAATAGACCTTTTTTTAATATAGCTTACAAGGTTGTGTTTCATTTTGATATCTAATCGGCTAACAGCAGAACTTGCATAGAATTAAACAAAATAGTGCTAGTTACACTCAAGTACAGCAATTTATAACATTCCCCATTTTAAGATGCTCCATTCAATCTCAGTTAGTTATGAGACAGTTATTTGCAATTGGCATTGTTTGTTTTGATGTTGTTTCCTGTTAGGTGCACCACACAAATGAGAAACCTGAAAACTGATTGTGCCATTTGGGAGCTGCCACTCCATTCCCTTACCTCCCTGGTCCCTGGTTGACCGTCCCTCTTACAGTTTATCTCCATAACCGTGCGATTCAAAACCATTCTCACTCTAAAGCTGCTCATCTCCCAAACCCTTACTCACAGCTAGGAGTCACAAAATTGGTGAACAGGTGGATCAGTTGGCAAACAGGAGGATTAGCAATTGGGTGGTTTAGATAGTCTGAATACAGGGAAGGCAATGGTTTGGAAAATGAACAAAGGAGAGAGAGAGGGGAATAGGGAGGTTTAATGATTCTGAACAGGAGGAGTTTCGGAGAGGCCAAACTGAGGGGAGGGTGAGGTTTAGGACAGCCCAAATCGAGGGTGTGGAAGATTGGAGAGCATAAGGTTTGGAAAGCAGGTTTGATGGAGACTGGGAGGTTTGTAGAACACAAATTGTGGCGAGTAGGAAGTTTGGAGGAAAAGCAGAGTTTTAAATCCGTGGCACACTGGGATCAGTCTTGTGAATTGAGAGAGGTGTTGGGACAGACTTAAACTGACTCAGTAAAGCCACAGAAACCAAAACATTGTTTTGGGCAAAAGTGAAGCAAAGCTGAAAATGAAAGACAGAAATTTAGCAATAAAGAATGGGATACAGAGGAAGAAATGAGCTCTTTCAAGCTTGATAATGTATATTTCAATGTAGGAGTCTAGCAATAGAGAAGGTAAACTGAGGGCACAGTTAGATGAGAAGTTTACTGAAAAATGCTCATGGCAGTAGGTGTCAAATTGTGATAGCACACTTAATGAAGTAATCATATTTATTGGTTATAACTATTAAAATAAAGTAGAAAATAAAAGGATTGCACAATCATGATCATTTTAGCACACAAATAATCAAGCCAGTGCCACACAACAGACATGTGGAAAGTGATAATTCATGGACTGAAAGGGCCATTAGCAATGTGGATAAAAAATGAATGAGTTAAAGCAACAGACAGCAATGGTTCTTCTCTCCCACCTATCCGCTCCAGTATTAACCTGCTATCACCGACCGCCGCCCCCCCTCCACTATTTATTTCAGAGCCCCCTTCCCCAACCCCATTTCTGAAGAAGGGTCCCAACCCGAAACGTCAGCCTTCCTTCTCCTCTGATGCTGCCTGGTCTGCTGTGTTCCTCCAGCTCCACACTGTATTATCTTAGACAGCAATGTTTAATGAGTATGTTTTGGGCTGGAGGAAGGTTTATAGCGGAGTTCCCCAAGAGTTGTTATTAGGACCTTTGCTTTTCACAATATATCGTCTGGATCTCGGTGTGCAGGGGACAATTTCAGAGTTTGCGGATGAAATAAAACTTGGGAGAATTGTAAACTGTAAGGACAGAGCAGAACTTCAAAACGACACAGGTTGGTGGACAGCGCAAATAGGTGGCAGATGAAGTTCAATGTAGAGAAATGTGAAGTGATACATTTCGGTTCAAAAGACACAGTGAGTATAAAGAGTGTACAGGAGCAGAGACATCTTCGTTTATATGTGCTTCAGTCACGAAAGGTGGCAGCACAGGTAGAAAGAGCTGTTAACAAAGCATGCAGTATTCCAGACTTCATTCGTACGGGTATAGAGTGCAAGAGCAGGGAAGCAATGGTGAACATTTACAGTACACTGGCTAGACATCAGCTGGTACATTTGCGTACAGTCCTGGGCACCACACTTTAAAAAGGATATAAATGCAATGGGGAGACAACAGAAGAGGTTTATGGGAATGGTTCTAGGGATGAAAAACCTCAGTTATCAGGATGGATTGGTGAAGTGAGGACTGTTTTCTCTGGAGAAGGCAGGTGTCATAGAAGTTTTCAAAAACACAAAGGGTCTGGAACAGATGGATAGGAAGAAACACCTTATGCTCATAATTGGATCAAGAAGCAAAGGCAAAGGCACAGTTTTCAAGTGTTTTGCCAATGAAGCAAAAGTGAGGTCATAGAGTCACAGCACGGAAACAGACCCTTCGGTCCAACTCACCCATGCTGACCAGGTATCCGAAATTAATCTAGTCCCATTTGCCAGCATTTGGCCTGTATCCTTCTAGACCCTTCCTATTTATGTACCGATTCAGATTCCTTTTAAATGTTGTAATTGTACCAACCTCCACCACTTCCTCTGGCAGCTCATTACATACACATCACCCTCTGTGTGAAAAGGTTTCCCCTTAGGTACCTTTTAAATCTTTCCCCTCTCACCCTAAACGAATGCCCTCTAGTTTGGACACCACTACCCTGGGGAAAAGACATTGGCTATTCACCCTATCTGTGTCTCTCATGATTTTATAAACTTCTATAAGGCTACCCTTCAGCCTCCGATGCTCCACGGAAAATAGCTATTCAGCATCTCCCTACAGCTCAAACCCTCCAACCCTGGCAACGTCCTTGTACAACTTTTCTGAACTCTTTCAAGTTTCATACCATCCTTCCTAACGCAGGGAGACCAGGACTGAACACTGTATTCCAAAAGTTGCCTAACCAATGTCCTATACAGCCTCAACATGACCTCCCAACTCCTACAGTCAACACACTGATCAATAAAGGCGAGTGTATCGAATGTCTGATTTGCCTTTCCAAAATGCAATACCTCACATTTATCCAAATTAAACTCCATCTGTCACTCCTCGGTCCATCTGATCAAGGTCCCGTTATACTCTGAGGTAACCTTCTTGGCTGTCTACTACACCACCAATTTTGGTGTAATCTGCAAACTTACTAACCATACCCTCCTGTGTTCACATCCAAATCATTTATATAAATGATGAAAAGCAGTGGAACCAGCATCGATCCTTGTGGCAAACCGCTGGTCACTGGCCTCCAGTCTGAAAAGCACCACCCTCTGTCTCCATTTTTTGTTCAATCAGTGAGCAGTTAAGATCACAAATACGCTGCCTGCTAGTCTGGGTGCAGGGAGGTTCAATTGAGGCATTCAAGAGGTTATTGGATGACTATTTAAACAGAAATAATAAGCAGGGCTTCAGAGTAGAGGAGGAGACTGGCACGAAGATAATCATAGAATATACTCAGAGAGCTGATAGTGACACTGAATGGCCTCATCCTATACTGTAACAAATCTGGAATCTGTAACTACAATTTTCCTTAAATTTACAGAATAGGAAGTGAAAACTCCACTATGCTCCAGTTCTTGTAATTTAAAACTCCACAACATTAACTGGGACAGATTTAGTGTCAAATGCATAGAGGTCACAGATTTCACAAAATGTGTTCAGAAGAATTTTTTTTAGCCAGTACATCGCAAGACCAATACCAGAAGGGACAGTTCCAGACTTAGCTTTGGGGATTGAGACTGGGCAGGTAAAAGAGATATCACTGGGTGAACTCATTAGTCTGATGATCCCCATTCATTTAGATTTAGTATAACATTGGAAAAGTACAGTGATAGACCAGGAGTGAAATCTTTCAATTGGAGAAAAACTATTCCTTTTAAGTTACAATCTGATTCAACATTTGCTGACTGGAAACAGCTACAGAAGGGTTAGAGCAGTGGGAGACAGTAAAGGAAGTGAAAGGTCAGAGCGAAATGACTCCTTAAAGAACAGTGGTGGGACTCCAAAATCCAGAGCACCTCTTAGAATGACAAGATGTGTCCACCGTATATGAAGGGTTTTAGCTGTAATAAAATCAAAATAATATTGCGAATGCTGGAAATCTGAAACAAAACCAGAATATTGGAGAAACTCAGCAGATCTGGCAGCATCTGTCAAAAGAGAGCTAGAGTTGACTCTTCTTTATGAGAGACTCCTTCAAGATTGAAGAGTCGTATTGCATTCAAAACATTAACTATGTTTCTCTCACCACGTACGCTGTCAGACCTGGTGAGTTTCTCCAGCATTTCTGTTTTTGTTCAAATGTTTAGCTGCATTCAAGTTATAGGCATTAACTGAGTTCTAGTTGAGACTCTATGAATACAGAGAGCAGGGCTATGTGGCACAACAGTAATGTCCCTATCTCTAGGCCAGAAGGTACAGGTGCAAGTCTCACGTGAGGAAGTGACAGCAATGGAGACATGTCGTAACACTGTGTCCAAATAAATCCAGAGCTGTGGATATTGGGTTAGGAGGTAATGTGTGTCATTTAAAACTGCAAATAAATCTAAAAGTACACAAAGATTGGATCCAGTTCTATCCTTCACTAATGGACTTCTTGAATTATAACATTCAGGGTAAGATAAGGTAAGAAAAGAAATCATGCATCAAATACCAAGAGTAGAGTACTACAGAAAACATGGATGATTGTAAATATGCATAGTGATGAAATTTAAAAAGGAAATGCGAATGCAGAGAGATAGAGTAGGCCTATTAGAGACTAAGTAGGAGACAGAAGACTTGGGCAAGGTTTTTGATGAATACTTCGTATTTGTCTTTTCAAAAGGTGGACAGAGTAATGCAGACATTTTGGCTAAAGAGATATAAATGCAGTAAGAAAAGAAGTAAAAGAAAGAACTGCTGATGTGGAACATCTATAACAAATAAAAACAAATTGCAGGAGAAAATCAGCAGATCTGGCAGCATCTAAAGAACGTAAGCAGAGTTATCACTTTGACTCTGGTGACCCTTCATCAGAACAGTTCTGAAGAAGGGTCCCTTCACTTGAAACATTAACTCTGCTCTCTTCAAACAGATGCTGCCAGACCTGCTGAGTTTCTCCAAGCATTTTCAGTTCTTGTTTGAAAAAGGAGGTATTGAGGTTAGCATCTTTGAAAGTAAATAAATTGCCTATTCTCTCCTCTATCACAATGCCATTCCTCTTCACT